CCACATGCAAATATCGTTGTACGGTAGAGCGGGGGCTCATGAAGCCACCCATACCTGACGTGTCACAGAGTCAGCAAAAACCGAACCCAATTTCTCCGAATAAAAACTCAACCTATACCATACCAATTTATACTCTAGGTTATTATCATTTTATCCTATTAACGTTTGATACCATTATCAATTTCTCCCTTAACATTATTTTTTAGTCACTTTACCCCCAAAACTAGTTGCCAAACTTAACAGAGTTTGTTAATTAAAGTGAAAAGACATATTTAACCATTAAAAATATTATCACTTTATCCCCATAAACTATAGTTTCATTATTAATTTACCCCCTAGAGTTATTTTTAGGCAATTTATTCTACCATTAAATCAACTTAGCAAGTTAAAAAATTTTAAAAGAAAATACCCTCCTCTTTTTATAATAAAATAATAAAAAATTTAGACTGACTCTTCTCATTTTTAGTATCAAGAAAAAAGTCAAAGTATTAATTTCTTTTTTCTTGACAATCTTATTAATATCAAAAAAGAATAGAAAGATGGAGAGGGGAAGGGGAAGAGGAAGATAGCTCAATTTTTTTTTAAAAAATTACAAATAAGAAAGAATTAAATATTTTTATTTTTTTAAAATTATTTTACTTTTCTATTTACTAACAAATTCCAATCCTAATCCCGACAACTTTAATGTAATATGATAATGTTAGACTTTTCTTTATTTTCTTTCTTTGCAAAATCTAATTTTCTTTCTTCTTCTTTTTTATCTCTTTTTCTTTTCCTAGTATTAATAAGTGTGAAAAAAATTTGAGAAAATCCTGTTATTTTTATATTTTTTTATTTCTTAAAGCGAAAAAAAGGAAAAATAACTATTCCAATTTTTATTTTTAATTATATATATAAAAGGTAAATATATTTAAATTTTTTTAACCATACTAGTTAGATTAATGATGAGGTAAAATGCCTAGAAAATAATGTTAGGAAAGTGATTGTATCACTATAATCTAAATGAATAAAGCGATAATAACAATGTAGTAATGCTACAAAATAAAAGGGTATTTTTGTCCAAAAATTATTAACATGTTGAGTTGAATTACTTATGGGGGTAAAGTGACTAAAAGATAATGTTAGGGGGTAAACTGATAGTAGTGATATAGTTTAAGGGGGTAACGTAATAATAACCCTTATACTCTCAACTCTCGAGTCACCGCTAACCACAAAAAAAAAAAAATGAAAGGAAAGTAAAGGGGGAAAGGAGGAAGCAAATTTCGAAACCCTAGCCTTCTCTCTCTAGTTGTAGACAATGTTTTAAAAATCGGACTGTTAATTGAACCAGTGAAGTGAAAGGGTCGAGATTCAACCGATCGGACCGGTTCAACCTCGGTTCAATGAATTTTTTAAAAAATAATTTATATAAATATATATATGTACAAAATAAGACATGTAATGGACTAATTTAATATTTTATATGATGAAAAGTTTACTATTTTTTAATAACTTGGATTTTTAAAAATAAATTTTTTAAATTATAAGTTAAAACAAATAAATTTCATCTCAATTTCAATTATATCTAAATCCAACCCCAAAATATCACAATATTTTGAAATTATACAAAATTCATGTCTCTGAGAATTTAGATATTATGAACTTAAATTTTAATTTACGTTTTGGAATTTAGAGATTGCAATTTAAAAAAGAAAATTTAGAGTTCGAAGGAAGTCAAGAAAATTGAAAATAGAAATGTAAACTTGATAAGAAACAAAAAATAAGATAAAAGTGAGTGGTTGTGGCATTAAATAATTTGGGTTAAAAAAAATTCTTTTTTAACTTTTTTCAATTTAATGGACAAAAACAAAATTAAAAGATGGAAGAAAACATCAATAAATTAAAAATAAAGAGGTTTGATTAAAAAGGGAGTGACAAAAGAAAAGAGAATAGAGAGAGAAAGAGAGAGAGTTGAAAATTAAAAAGAAAGAGCCATGAGGGGATGAGATTTTGTAAGAAAAAGGGAAAAAAAAATATGAGTGTTTGCTTTATATAAATAAGTTATCAAAAAAAACTAATAAGATGTGACGGTGCAACGGTTAATACATTGGTCTTTTATTACAAAGGTCTTGGTTCGAATCTTGATAGCTGCATTTTGCAAAACTTTAAAAAAAAAAAAAAAAAGAGGGAATGCTGAAAACCGAAAAACCGCCGGTTCAATCCGGTTCGGCGGTTTTCACGGTTCAACCGGTCTTTGACCGGTTTTCTAGCAAAGTCAACAATGTCATTGAACCGGACCGGTGCCATGGCCGGTTCGCGGTTCAACCGGTCGAACCGGCCGGTCCGGTCCGGTTTTCAAAACATTGGTTGTAGAGGGTTAGGGCTACAAACGAATTGAGTCGAGTCAAGTTTTTTGCTAATCAAGCCGAGTCTCGACTAAATTTTACCAAGTTCGAACTCGAACTCGAGTTCGAACTTGAAAAAAAATAAAAAATAAATATTTTATTTTTAAAAAAATAAATAAAATAATATTTTTTTCCTAATAAATAATAAAATATTAAGAATATATATGTAATTTTACTATTAAAATAAGAAAATAAAAATATATATACTTAAAATTAAAAATATATATACTTAAAATTTAAAAAAAAATAATATTATATATATATTCGAACTCGCGAGCCGGTTTAATATTTTGAGCTCGATTTCGACTCAAGCCAGCTCGAGCTCGATTCGTTTGCGGCCCTAAGAGGGTAAAGTGATAATATGTCAGGAACTGATTTAGGAGTAGTGTCGTTTTATTCAATAAAGCTTGCGTTTAGCCAAATACACTGAAGGATGCACGAAACGGTGTCGTCCTACTTAAAGCTGTCCGTTGGTCATTAATTGTAGTTAGTTACAGATATTTGCATAAAACCCTAGCTTGTAACAGCAATTCTGTTAAGCAATTAATACCAAATTGGTTAATCTGTTTTTTTCTTTCCTTTCTTCTGTCATGTTCTCTCTCCTTTTCTCTCTCCCTCTTTCTCTCTCTCTCTCTTCCCTTTTCAGACCCTTTACTCTCGGATTCCGGTGAATATTCCGGTCATTAGAGCCTTCGGTCCTAACATAATAACCCTTATTGTCAGGAATTGGGAGTGCTACGTCACCGTTTTAAGCAATTTGTATAAGTAAAAGGAAGGAAACAACGCATAAGTAAGACGGCGTCGTAATGGCTTGAAATCAGATGAAATTAGGGCTTAAGTGGAACGGCGTCGTTTTGATAGCCAAATAAGAAATTATTTAGTCGGTTAGCTTGTCTATTTGTACTCATGCAATTGGTGGTAGGGTTGCAAACGAGCCGAGTCGAGTCGAGTTTTGAGTTAATCGAGCCGAGTCTCGACTAAATTTTTCCAAATTCGAGCTCGACGAGCTGGCAATTTTCGAGCTCGAGCTCGAAAAAAATAAAAAATAATTATTTTATTTTTAAAAAAATAAATAAAATAATATTTTTTCTGAATAAATAATAAAATATTAAGGTTATATACGTAATTTCACTATGAAAATAAAAAATAAAAAATATATATAATATACGTAATTTTATTATTAAATAAAAATAAAAATAAAAAAAAATTATATATATTCAAGCTCGCGAGCCGGGCTTAATATTCTGAGCTCGAGTTCGAGCTCGAGTTTGACTCGAGCCGGCTCGAGCTCGATTAATATCGAGCTCGACTCGAGCTTGACTCGAGCCGCTCGCGAGTGGCTCGATTCGTTTGCAGCCCTAATTGGTGGGAAGTGGTTTGTTAGGATGGCGGCAATGTTTTGAAAATCGGACCAGACCGGCCGGTTCGACCGGTTGAACCGTGAACCGGCCATGGCACCGGTCCGGTTCAATGCCATAGTTGACTTTGTCAGAAAATCGGTCAAGAACCGGTCGAACCGTAAAAATCGCGATTGAACCGCTATTGAACCGGTTTTCAACCTTCTCTTTTTTTTTTTTTTGTAAAATGCAGTTATCAAGATTCGAACTCAAGAGTCAAGACCTTTGTAATAGAAGACCAATGTATTAACTGTTGCACCATCACATCTTATTAGTTTTTTTTGATAACTTATTTATATAAAGCAAACACTTATATTTCTTTTTTCTATTTTTCTTACAAAATCTCATCCTCTCATGGCTCTTTCTTTTTAATTTTCAACTCTCTCTCTTTCTCTATCATCTTTTTTTTGTCACTCCCTTTTTAATCAAATCTCTTTATTTTTAATTTATTGATGTTTTCTTCCATCTTTTAATTTGGTTTTTGTCCATTAAATTGAAAAAAGTTAAAAAAGAATTATTTTTTGGGTTTTTTTAACCCAAATTATTTAATGCTACAACCACTCTCTTTTATCTCATTTTTTGTTTCTTATCAAGTTTACATTTCTATTTTCGATTTTCTTGACCTCCTTCGAACTCTAAACTTCCTTTTTTAAATTGCAATCTTTAAAACGTAAATTAAAATTTAAGTTTACAATATCTAAATTCTCATAGACGTGAATTTTGTATAATTTCAAAATATTGTGATATTTTTGGATTGGATTTAGACATAATTGAAATCGAGATGAAATTTATTTGTTTTAACTTATAATTTAAAATTTTATTTTTAAAAAATCCAAGTTATTAAAAAATAGTAAACCTTTCATCATATAAAGTATTAAATTAATCCATTACATGTCTTATTTTGTACATATACATTTATATAAATAATTTTTTAAAAAATTTATTGAACCGAGATTGAACCGGTCCGACTGATTAAACCTCGACCCTTTCACTTCACCGGTTCAATTAACGGTCCGGTTTTTAAAACATTGGATGGCGGGTAATTGAATCAGGATTGTAAATTGGGGAGGGCCAAACGTTGTCGTTTTGATTAAATAGGGATTTAAAAGTCAGTTAGTTAGTTAGTGGCTGAGTCACGGACGCTGTAATAAAAGCGGGGCCCACTGCTTGGCAAGGCACAAGAGTAATAACAGAAATCTGTTTCTTTCTTTCTCAACTTCTCTCTCTCGCATTCTCCCTCTCTTTCTCTCATTTCTTCTTATCTCTTAATCCTTTCCAATTGAATGGTTAATCACTGCCAATTGCATGATTAATCATTCTCTTCTCAACTTTCCCTCCCTTCTCTCCTCTGCTCTTCTCTCTCCCTCGTCTGAAACCCTTTCCCTAATTTCCCCAATTCCTGATTTCTCTGATTTCTCCCTTCAGACATCCAAGATCAGGTCAGGTACCTGACACTTATACTCTCAACTCTCGAGTCTCCGCTAACCACAAAAAGAAAAAAAACGAAAGGAAAGAAAAGGGGAAAAGGAGGAAGCAAAAATGGTGTACTACTTCAAAGCGAGACCTGAGGCCGGAGATTACACCATCTTCATGAGCCTCGACAATCACGAGAACGAGGAGCTCTTCAAATACGGCTTCCCTGAAGATGTTTGGTAATTCTCAAACCCTAGCTTTTTTCTAATTTAGGTAGCGTATACATTGTGTGAAATTTTAGATTTTTGTTTGGATTTTGGAGTGTAAAATGGTTTTCTTGATGTTTTACGTGTTGTTTATTAGCATCTAATTTTGTATTTTGAGATTGTATTGAGTTGAGAATTTTAGTGCTCCGTTGAGTTTTTGGTTATCGGTTGAAAAAGTACGTCTCCTGGAAAATGTTGATTTAGATTAGTGGCTATTTAATTTTGTTCTTGAATTCTCGGACCTAAATTTAAAATAATTTAAATTATTTTTTACTAAATGATTGGTTAGATTTATGAGGTATTGCGCCTGTGCTTGTTAGTACTTGAAGAAGGATATGTAAATGCAAAAGGAGTTCGTCTAGACTGTAAAAAGGCCATCTTGATACATGAGGCTCTTGTCAGCCTAGTGGTTTGAGAAAGTATTGGTGGATAGTGAAAGAAAGAAGTTCGATTTTACAAAGAAAGATTCTTTACTGGGCATGTTCTGATAAAGAAAAGAGTCTTTGGTGACTTTCTTTGAGATTGGAGCATCTTCTGGTAGAAGTTGTTGAATTTAGCTGCTAGAGGTGGCAAGGTGGACATACATGAGTGATAGAAATGAGTAGTAGTACTTGTGAAGAAGGAAACCATTGTATTGGTCCTTTATTTAACCACTTTAATGCTTTAAGCTGTTTGTTTCTCAACAATGTTGCATTCAGGACAGTGTCTACCAGCAACTATTCTGTTACAATTTTAGAATGACATAGCCATGTGTTTGAGGAAATCATGAAATTGTAGTTAAGTTGATATGTTCTTAGGTGGTAGGTGTAACTAGTAAGTGCATGAACTTCCTTTCCTTTCATAATTTTATTATACCTGTGAATCATGGTGTCATGCTATAGATTTCCCAAGGGATATATGTGTCTTTTGATGGGCAAGGAGGTTATGTGCCGTTTGTTTCAGTGCATTGTTTTTCATACCTGTTTGCCACTTATTGAAAACCTGAAGTCGCCTTGCAGGTTCCATGTGGATGAAATGCCATCCGCCCATGTCTTTCTGAGATTGCACAAGGGCCAAACATTTGATGATATACCAGAAGGTGTACTGGAAGATTGTGCACAATTAGTCAAAGCAAATTCCATCGAAGGTAAATTCTTATTTTCCTGTTATGTGCTGTTTCAAAGAGAAACTCTTTTTGTTTAATGGAATTAGTCTTCAGCTTCAAAAGCTGGTGAAATTTATTTTGCCCCGGTTTTTGAGGAATAAATGAGAGTGTGTAACGTATAAAAATTTAATCGAATGGGGAGAAAATATGGACACATCTCCTTTTCTTAATCTCTTATTCATTCACAATTAGCCTGACATTGTCATGTGGCAGGAAATGAGGTGAACAATATTGATGTTGTTTATACTCCATGGCATAATCTTAAAAAAACTGCCTCCATGGACGTTGGCCATGTTGGTTTCCACAACTCAAAAATGGTGAGTCTATATTATTTTTAAATAGCTGGAGTATGATTCTCATTGTGCCTTGTGCTTCAGGATATGAAGTTCCATTCTCTGTTGATGGTAGACAAAAAATTTACCTATATCTGATCTTGGTTCTGCTTTAGGTTCGTATCGTCAAAGTGGAGAAACGAATAAATGAGATAGTTAATAGATTAAACCGGACAAAGGTGGAAAGGAAACCTGATTTGAAAGGTATGACTAGCAATTCTCCTTTAAGATATGTTCTGCTACACCAAACTGTTGTTCTTGTCTATATGCTTTTGTTTTGTCTGTCTTCAGCTGAGCGAGAAGCAGTTAATGTGGTAGAAAATGCTGAAGCTGAACCAACTGTTGATGATCACTTCGACAATTACACGAAATATATTGATGCGATCGAAAAGGTGGAGAAAGCTATCCTGGAGCGAATTGAGAAGCTGGAGACACAAATAATAAAAGAAATGAAGGCGACGGAGACTTCGATTAGGAAAGATCTTAACCAGGTCAGCTGCACATTTCATCAGTTTTTTTTTATTCCTTGTTGCTTTGTATTGCATGTACCATTGTTTTATTCATTGTTTTGCATGTACCAAATGCAGATTTCTTCTACTGGAAAAAGGCGGTTCCATGTTGAATGGGCAAGGCTGTTGCTGAATGCAGCTGCCATCGGTGGAACCTTTTTTATGCTGTCTGTTGCTGGGAGGAATGCAAACAGAATGATGCGTGACGTTGGGGAGTACGGCAAGAAGACAATGGATGCTGTTGTAGATTCTATTAATGAAGTCAAGACTAAAAAATTACAGTTGGTCAAAGGGCCATTATTTTCATTATGGTGACCACCCATTAGTGGGCAAATATTGATAGGTCTTGCTTCCACAAGAAAGATGTTTGCTTGTTCTGCTGTTTGGACAGTTATAGTATGGCGCTGCTCAAGGAATCAATATTATGGAAGAGAAAATCTATTCTGTAATAATAGGACATACATTCAAAAACTGAAAGAGACTTGGTTGATAGGGACCAATTTATTGTGCTTATTGAGAAGTTTTGTGAAAATTGAGTTTTAGTTTGACTCAATAAAATGGTCAGGTAAGTATGAGTTGTCAAAAAATCCAGGTGACCCACCATTATTAGTTAGGATAAACTTTCAATTGCTCTTTCTTAGACTGTAATAACAGTTTTAAGATTCTGATGAAAAACCTGGTGAATTGTGTTTAATCTATGTCTTTAGTTTTAACTTGATTACAGTTTGGTTTAACTCTTGAGTAGACTGTAACTATTCAAGTTGAATCTGGGTGTCTTTTCTGTGAACATTGAGATATATTTTCTGTAATAATAATGAAAGGATGAAGATTTCCAGTGGGTAAAGACGTAATCAAACATTGGCATTGGAAAAAGTGGCAGGGCACTCTTGTTACGTTAATGGGGGGTGTTCTCAATTGACTTTTCAACTGATTTTAGATTCTAATTTTCCAGCATCTATGTTCTTGTTTGCTTTTGTGTCTACATTTTAGATTATTTGTAATTGGCAAATGAACTGAGAACTGAAATCCTGAATCTTCCCAATAGTATCTTTTGCTAATTCTGATTAAACACCTTTTTGTTAAATGTAAAGCGAGCGAAACAGCCCCATAGTAATGCATTTGTAATCATATCTGCTAAATCTTATTGTTTTCCTCTGGAAAAGAAGTAATTGTTGCTCTATTATGTTAAGCAATTTGAAAGTGTATTTTTGGAAAGGATAAGTTGTTTATCACAAAAAGTTTGTTATTATAATGTTTGCTAGTTTATCTAGTGGGTATGATGTATTGATAGATTCTTTTTCCTAACATGTACATTGTGTTCTGCTTGGAATTTTGAATCAGGCTGATGATGGTCTTGCGAATGAGGATAGTATCAGTCGACTGCCAGATGATTTGCTGTCAGATGTCCTTTCACGTTTGGACCTGATAGAGGCCGTTGGGACAAGAATTTTGTCAAGAAGGTGGAAAAATGTTTGCAAAGTTATGTCTGAACTCCACCTAGATTGCCTTGACATGTTTAGGCCTAATTGCTCTCACGATATGGGTAGCCATCGGGTAAAGTGTAGGTTTTTGGAAGCTGTAGATCAGTCTTTACAGCTTTATTCAGATCAAAGCATAACTTATTTGAGAATTTCATGCTGTTTCATGAAAGAATTTGAGCCCAAATTCACTCAATGGATGCAGGTTGTAGCTACTTTAGATGTTCAGGAACTTGACCTCAAATTTATCTGTTCTTCTTTGCCTCTTTATGAATGTGTAAAATCCAACATGGGTGAGCTTTTCCCTGTCTCATTTCAGCTTCTTACTGCAGTAGCTACAATGAAACATTTGCGCTTATTGGCTTGTTCTTTGCAACCAAGTTTCCCTACCCAATTTAATTCCCTTGAGGGCCTTTATTTAGACTTGGTTCACCTGAGTGATGGAGAATTACCGAGAATGTTGTCCTCTTGTGTTAACCTTCAGACTCTTAGACTCGGATTTTGTAAACTTACTCCTAAGCTTTCTATCTCTGCTCCGTGTCTCCAATTGAAGTTTCTGTATGTTCATTCCTGTCCTGGTTTGGAGGAGATTGATATCTCATATCTGTGCTGGCAACCTGCTTACTTTTTCTTTCTTTCACAATGGCCCGATAAAGTTTTCGCTCTGTGTTCCCAAACTAGAAGATGCACGCATCACCTTCACTGGCAATGGTTCCATACCTTATTTTTTTGGAGAAGTTCTGAAGGACTGTCCTAAGTTAAAAAACTTATTATTCCAAACACACAGTGACAAGGTTTGTATTGACTATCAATCATCATTTTCTGTGTCCAATTCTTGGCAGTGGTATTCATGATTTTTGTTTCTCTTGATTCAGCTACAATATACACCTGGAAAGATGGATATGTTCAGCAATCTTAGGACATTATATTTTGTCCCAATGATCACGTCTCCACCTGATCTACTGAATGTTGTGCCTATTTTGGAGGCTTGTCCACATTTAGAAGAATTTCGTCTGCAGGTTAGTTACTAAATCTATTAATTTTTCCCATTTTCTCCCCTTCTTTGTGAGATTTTTTTTGGGGGGTGGGGGTGGGGGGTGGGGTTGATTTATAGTTAGCGTCTTTTTACCATCTTTTTGGAAACATTGTAAAAGGCTAATATTCTTTGACTTAGCATAACTAAAGCAAATTAGGCAAGAGATATTTGCCCTTTCTTCGAAGAGATTGGATTTTCAAAATGGCATTGTTACATTTAATTTGCTTTTAAAATTTGTGGTGCTTTTCGCTAAGTGAATAAATGCTGAATGAATTTCTTTAGTCTTGAAGATTCCATTTCCTTAGGTCTATTTGGGATAATATCCTCTGTTAAGTACTCTGTGAAACTGTTCTTTTTGCCATTCTGAATGTCTTTTGTACAGCGTTCTCTAACTGTCATATTTTCTACTTGTACCGCCCCATTTTCATTTTTTTTTTCTCTAAGTCCATGACCTTCACTCAGAAGCTGTATTCTAGTGTTTTAAGATCATCCTTATGGCCTTCAGTGTGAATTGATGTTAGTCATGGATGCTTATATGAAGCATTTAAGTTGATTGCCTCAACTAGGGTTATTGTCAAATCAGCTTGATTACAAGCCAGGCCAATCTTCCATCGAGAGTTGGTTGACTTTAAATTTCGAAAGTTAGCAAAACCAGAATGACTGGATTTCTTTTCAACTTTTGATGTTTTATGTGTACATATTCGTGATTTGCATAGATGATTAGAGGTTTGACATATTTGTTTCAAGGTCAATTTTTGCTCTATGACATCAGATGTAGGGGTTTCCATCCAATTATAACAATTTATCTGTAGAAAAGGAAGGAAATTTTTGTTTATATAATTTCCACTTCCATTATAAAATTGATATTGGATGGAATCTGAGCTGAACATCTGTTTAGTTGAGCATAATTAGATTAGATCACTCTTTGGCATAATTTGTTAGTGGCCCTAGTTGTAGTGTTGCCATTAATGTCCATAAAGTACAAGATTATCTTTTTCTTACATCTTGTGGATTTGTAATGTATGAGATTCTTCGTTTATTTGTTAAATTGGTTGAAAACCGTTTCAATATCCAATTTGTAAGATGTAAATCTCTCTTTAGATGTCGATACCTTTGCATGTCTTTTTTCCTTCTTCATTCTGTACGAGTTCTGTTTTAGCTGTTGATGGCAGTGTTGTTTCTAAAAGGGCAGTATGTGAATATTTAATAGTTGAAGTAAGTGTTTGCATGCTTATTCCATAGTCGGTCCCAATTTGAAGGCAAACCTTGCTGCTTACCTGCTACATCCCAACGTCCTTGCATGGCTTGGCTTGTTCTTTAAGCTCCGCTTCTCCCTTTTAGAATGCAGTATGGGAATAGTTGACAGTTGACATATCAAATAAGTGTCTGCATGCTTATAGCGACTCTTAATTTTTGCTGCTTACCAGCTATATCCTCGCATCCTGGCGTGGCTTTGCTCTTTCTCTGAGCCCTGCTTCTCCCTTCCCACTCTCCCTGTTCCTACCCCAATAAACAGGCCTATGGATTATAGCTGATCCATAGGTACTTATTTCAGCATAAACTTTGGGAAATAACATTGTTCTTCTAACGTTCTCACAGCATGTGTTTTTTGCACTTTTTGTCACGCTGCTTTTAAAGATGCAAGTCAGAGATGTGACTTCCAATGGTGTCACTTTGAAGAGACAATGCTGCTTAAATCAGGACTCTACTGTTGCAGTCTGTGGGGAGATTTTTAAATTTATCACTTGTTTGTCTTTTGTTTTTCACCCTTCTTTGTTGATGCCACAGTCCATTGGCATGGAGAAACAACTTAACTGCCCGTCAAACTTTATTCTCCTGGTTTTTTGTGTCTCTCTCCTTTCTACTTCTTGTTCATGCCACAGTATGTGTAGGAACCAGCAGGCTTTGCCCAAGGTGACCTTTCTTTTGATGTCCATGACTTTTCATTCAACCAAATTCTCTTCTCCAATCTTAAGTCATGTTTGAAGGTTATAATTTAAGCAGATATTAATTGAATGATTTTGGCAAATTGAAAGAAGTGAAAGCGTGCTATGAAAATTATTGCTTGTTATTGTGACTAAAATACTTGGTTTTGTTTCTTTGTGCATCTTCAGTGACCTGATAAAATAAAAACAAATGATTATTAGTGTACATCTTTCTCTGAACTTATTATGTACTCTTCACTCTCCTCATTTTGGTTTCTCATTTTAGAAGGTTGGGCATCACATGTTCTATCGATGCATTTAGCTAAGAACCTGACTGATTTATTTTGGCTTTAGTTACTTTGTCCAGGTTTTAATGAAGAAAGAGGAAGAGAATGGCCTCCCAGACACCTTGGTCAATTAAAAGAAGTGGAATTTAATGGATTTCATGGGACAGTAAATGAAATTCATTTTGCTACTTATCTACATAAGTAATAAAAGTGCCAAGAGTTTGGTCGTTTTTCACGTGATTCGTCGTCCTCACGTGACCTTCGTTGTTATGTGTTTAGTGCATTGCCCGAGACCTAGGTTAGACTAAAAAACGCTGCCTCTCTTCTCTTCTTCCTTTTCTCTTCTCTTTTTTTTCCCCATTCCTTCCTCTTCCTCTCTCCTCTCTCTATTTTTTCCTCAGACTCTCTCCGTTCCCTCCTCCTCCGCCGAGACCTAGGTTAGACTAAAACGCCGCCTCTCTTCTCTTTTTCCTTTTCTGCTCGTTTTTTTTTCCGTTCCTTTCTCTTCCTCTCTCCCTCTCTCTATTTTTCCTCAGACTCTCTCCGTTCCCTCCTCTTCCACCGCCACATCATCTCCCTCTCCGACACCCAACATCACAAGTGCCCCATCTCCCACCAGCCCTGGGATTCTAGAACTTCCAATCCCTCCGCTAAATCCTCGCTGTCATCAGCATCATTCACTGCCTTCCTTTCTAGATCTCCACTCCCTCGCCCTTCATCTCCTCAGACTCTCTTCGTTCCCTCCTCTGCCACCATATCATCTCCCTATCCTCTATTAGCTCCTTCTACACCCAACATCACATGTTTCCCTTCTCCCACCAGCCCTGGGATTCCCCCCTCTGCCTCCCTCCGTTTCAAGTCGTCGTCGCTAGATCCCCTCCCAGGATCTCCACTCCCTTGTCTTCACTTTATTTTTAAATTTTTTGCTCCTCTTTTTTTCTTTTTGTAGGTGGAATATCAATATCAGGTAGTATTTCGGTATTTTTGGCTTTTGGGTTCTTTTTCTGTTTCACTGTCTACATGGGAAGATGTTTTTGTGTTTTTTTTGTGATGTTATATCTTGAAATTCTAGGGCTTAATAGCTGATCATTTAGTGGTTTTTTTGTGTCTTGACTGGTTGTATTTTTTTTTTTGCTTATTCAGAGGATTTTTTTTTTGAAAAACTGGTGGTTTAGTGTTTCTTTTCCACCCCACTTTGTTTCTGATTCTCTCTCTATGCCTTGCTCTCGGCCTCCTCTTCACCTGCGCCTCCGCTAAAGTCTTCTTCGAGGAGCGTTTCGATGGTATCTTCATCTCCCGATCTCTCCCTCTGTCTTCTACTTGTTCTTTTTCTGAATGTTGAAGTAGTAATTGAGTTTGGTTTTCAGTTATTTTCAATTTGTCTTAGCTTTACTTGTTGAAATTAATTTGTGGAAGATCGGATTTGGATTAGCGGTTGATGTATGGATTCCAGTTTTCTGATTGGATGATTTGAAATGTGAATGGAATTCTGGTCTGTTACCTAGATCTGTTGATTCTGTCTATATGAAAGTTGAGACTTGGATTTCTTTTTGATGATTCGATGTAATGGTTTGTCGGATGTAATTGATCTTTTTTTTATTTGTATGTGAGGACTGTTTTCTGGACAGTACACTTGCTTCCCGGATGTTGCTTGGTTACTAGATAAGTTAGAGGTGTGATTTTGTGCGATTCCAGGGGGATGATGGTGATGTTATATGATCTGTTTATTTAGCTTTCCAGTTGAGATGTTTGGAAAGAATTGAATATGTTAACGGTTTAACAATGTTATTGTGTCGGTCCTAGCCTCCTAGGTGGCTTTGAACAATGTTTTCGTATTGTTGATGGTTAGTGTTATCAACTGCACATTGTTTCAATTGGACGAATATGTTTCTGTAGAACAATGTACAATCATGTCAGCTTGTTTTTGTGTTTTGGACACCCCACTTGTGCTAGGCTAAGGGAGGAATGTTGGAATGTTGGTAGATAGCTTTCTTAGATATCATTTTCTGTCCAAAGGGAAGTCTGTTAAAATGTAAAAGCAGTTTCTGTTTGATTTTTGTACTAAAATGAATGTAAAAGCAATTTCTATTTGATTGTCGTACTAAAATGCTTTGTGCTGATAGACACTTTTAGATGGATGGGAGAAACGGTGGGTAAAGTCTGACTGGAAAAAGGAAGATAATACTGCTGGAGAGTGGAATTATACTGCTGGTAAATGGCATGGAGACGCCAATGATAAAGGTAACCTTTTTCGCCCTGTATTCTTGGTGCACTATTGGATGTGAACTTGGAAGTTAAGGGTACATTGGATCTTAGCTTTGATGTCCCAATGCAGGTATTCAGACCAGTGAAGACTACAGATTCTATGCCATTTCAGCTGAGTTCCCTGAGTTCAGCAACAAGGATAAAACCTTAGTGTTCCAATTCTGCGTGAAGCATGAACAGAAGCTTGACTGTGGTGGTGGCTACATGAAACTACTCAGTGGTGATGTTGATCAAAAGAAATTTG